TTACAGGCATCCTTAAAAGTTTCATATTTAATTGCAAAAAATTTAAAACCTCATACAATTGGAGAATCGCTCATTCTTCCTTTCAGCAATTAAAATGACATCATTTATGCATGCAGAAAAATATAGTAACTGATTTAAAAACAATAGCATTAAAAAAAGATACCGTTTCTCACCAAATTTTGTCATATCGGAGACACTATAGAATACAAAATCCAGTCTTTACTATAAAACTTGATGAAACTACCGACATTACTAAAAATGTTTCAATTCATCGTTTATCTGAGATATGTTTTTGAAGACGACGCAGTAGAATATTTTTTATGTTGTAATATTTGGAAAGGAAAAGCAACTGAAGAGAGAAATATTTGAAATTATTAACAGACATTTTGAAACAATAATCTTACCTAGACACTGTGTCGCAGTTTGTACTAATGTAAGCTTTTAAAACTAAGCCAATACTTTGGCAAGGAGAATTGAAGAAAAAAAAAAAAAAAGAAAGAAAATAATACAGATTTCTTGTTTAAAACGACATATGATAAAATTGACAAATTTTTTGGAAAAATTTCCAAATAAGGCATTAGGTTGGATCTGTGACTCATTTTGTCTTTGGTATTTTCAATTCCAATGTATCTCTATATGAAAAAGAACAATTAATTGATATTTTAAGTAACGGAATACTGTGTGTTAAGTTAAGTCTCTAACTTGCCAAAAATTTTAGTTGATTGGAAACTAATATGCCGATTTAAAAGGAATGAAAGTAAAATTATTACGTTTCTTAATAAAATGCACAATAAACCTTTAGCTTATTTAAAACTTCAATGCTTATGTTACATTTTCTTTATGTAAGCACTGAAAGGATATTCACTGAATAGAAATATTTGCTATTGAATTAACATGGAGAACTTTTTATTGAAATATTTTTCTCTGTGACATTAGTTGCATCTACTACAAAATAAAGATTAAAGAAGTTTTTAAACATTTAAATTCATTGTCATATTGATCTAAAGCACTAGATTAGTGAGTTTTTATTACATTATTGACAAATATAGTTTTAAACAATCAAAAAATTTTCAGCGGAGATAATTATTTGTCAATATGAATGTGTTTTCAAAGAAGAAAAAATAATAAGTGATAAAAAGAAAATTCAATTAGAACATTCACATCTCTAACAAAGTAATTGCTTTGATTTTAATCTTATAATACAAATATTTTAAAATTAAGCTTGTAAAGTTAGCGAATTCGATAGTAAATTTCACTTTCGTTAATCTTAACCAGAATAAAATATTAAAAATCTGATAAGTTTCTTATTAAGAAACATTATTAATTAATGATAATTTCGAAATTATTTCTTTTCAAGGAAGCAAAGTTGTTATGCAGGCAACTTATACTCAAGGCCTGCCAGACTGAACGAAATTCCGGTTCCCAGTTTTCAGTGGCTTTCGCGAAAATTCATCACTAGGTGGCGCTCGCATTCTGCTACAATTTTGCTATACGCTCACTATTTGTAACGTGGCTCGTTATTAACAAAAAGTGTATTTTATGGTCTAGCTGCTGTATATTTAAGGCTATACTTAACGAGCTTTTTTTTTGCGTAACTTTATATGCACATAGGTTTAAAATTGTGTATATACATCATTGAACTCAGTTCTGAAATTCCTCATTCTGCTTATTTAATTCTGAAATCTTTGTGCATCTAATGCTGTTATTTTCAAAACTTTGTTTGTAACTTTCTTCTGATTAATCTGGAATGGGAATGGTACACATGGATTTATGTCAGGTAGTTACATGTAGGTAATGTATCAAGATGGCACTCATGTAAATTGATGCAGTGCTTAATAGTGATAATATTGTTTTGTGAAATTCAGTAATTTTACTTCATGCATACATTTTTTTGATAATGAACTATATCAGTATCTCACGCTGCCAGCCATAAAATTTTGTACACATGTCATTCTGATTAATGTTGTATATGTGTAAAAAATGTCTAGCTGCTGTATATTTAAGGGCTATACTTAATAAGCTTGTTTTTTTGCCTAACTTTATATGCATATAGGTTTAAAATTGTGTATATACCTCATTGAACTCAGTTCTGAAATTCTTCATTCTGCTTATTTAATTCTGAAATCTTTGTGCATCTAATGCTGTTACTTTCAAAACTTTGTGTGGAACTTTCTTCTGATTAATCTGGAATGGGAATGCTACACATGGATTTATGTCATGTAGGTAATGTATCAAGATGGCACTCATGTGTATGTGTGCTTAATAGTGATAATATTGTTTTGTGAAATTCAGTAATTTTATTTCATGTATACATTATTCTTGATAATGAACTATATCAGTATCTCACGCTGCCAGCCATAAAATTTTGTACACATGTCATTCTGATAAATGTTGTGTGTAAAAATGTCTACCTGCTGTATATTTAAGTGATGCATTTAATAAGCTTGTTTTTTTTTGCCTAACTTTAAATGCATATATATCTAAAATTGTGTATATACCTCATTCTACTTAGCATTGTGGGCATGTGTGATGGATATATTATTTATATTCAGCCATTGCAAGTTTTCAAATTTTATCCTTGATATACAGAACTGAACGTTTTCTTAAGTATATATTGTGATTATGAGAGTTATTATTTTTTTGTGTGCTGTTAAAATATATTTATGATGTCTGTGTCTCTTTTATTTATAACAAACAGATTGATTTGATCAATAGCTTTATCAAAAATTTCATTATTTTCATTTGAAAAATTGAAGTTTCTCTAACACTGAAAATGTAAATTGCTGCAATGCACTTAATTCAATTACTAGTTTCTTAATGTTAACATCAATGAAATTTAGAATACAAATGAAAGTGAAGAAAAACACACCTGTGTAATATTAAAATTAGTCAAAAAAAGCAACTTTGGGTTTGAGTTCAAAATCTATGCCACAGTAAGTTTTTTTTTTTTTTTTTTGCCTAATAATTTTAGAATATCATCTGCAATGCAAATACTGCACAGAGATCAAAATCTGCATTATTTAAACTTTTATTGTTTAAGATTTCCTAAAAACAGTTATTTAATAATTAAAAAAATTCTTCAGTATGTAAAATTTAATCTCTTTAAGTAATATTTTTACTTTAATCTCTTTAAGTAATATTTTTACTCCAATGTCGTGGAAACAGATATACAAATTTTAGATCACGGTGTATTAATATGTTAATTACATCTTTGATAGGGGATACTAAATTATTTTTTGGCCCAGTACAGCCGATAGAAATATTTTGAAAATTTTTCACTGAAATAGTACATGATCTGAAGCTATCTGTTAACTTCTTACTATATAAATAATTAAAAAATAAGGGTGTATACTCTGAATTACCTTTAAATTAGAATAAATAGTTGTAATGCGTACAATTCAGAATAGCGCATGTCTAGATGAAAGCAGGAATTAAAATCGAGATCAAATAGCTGGTGTTTATGTGTGAAAAAAAAAAAGGTGAGATAGCTTAAAATTCCATGCTTTCCTTCTAATTAAAATATTTTTACTAATAAGAAATCAACAATTTCTGACTACTATGGATTAATCGTTTTTAAACTTTGCATATAACAAGACAGAATTCGTTTTTGGTACTTTTCCGTTTTTGTAAACATCGCAAAGTGTAGCAGAATTGTAGCGCCATCTTGCGGTCAGTAGGAATATCACGCAGGCAACCGAAAACACAAAAGAATATTTTCACACTGGAGGCCCTATAAGTTGTTGGTTTAACCTCGCCAGGAGCTCAAAATTATATGGCGAAACGTCGAGTCCAGACGTCAAAAATTCGAAAAGTGGGGTAGGGTTTGGAAATACGCAAAGCTGCCAGCTTTAATACTGCGTCCAAAAGAGGAGTTTTTTTTTTTTTTTAACTTTTTATGTGTTACCTTTACATATTATATATCATGTTCTTCGGATTTATTCCATAAGATTAAAATTAACTGGAATTTGAAAGCTGCCAGCTTTTATACTGCGCCCAAAAGGGGAGTTTTTTTTTTTTTTTTTTAAACTCTTTATGTGTTACCTTTACTTATTATATATCATGTTCTTCGGATTTAAACCGTAAGATTAAAATTAACTGGAATATCATAAAATATTTAAAATAGCATATCTTTAGAACTTCCTATACACAGTCTCGCGAGCTGGAGATAAATTTTTTTTCGTACAGTGTTGCCATTACTCGCTTTGAAATCGTTGATTTTCTGGATCAAAAACTCATAAATGTTTTACAAAATATGAAATATATAATGAAATAAATCCAAAATTTCAAATTTGGGCTTCCATATGCCCATATTCGGCTGGAGACGTACGTTATTCAAAATTTGATGGCTCTAGGTACTGTTGTTTTATCACAGTGCGAGAAACATACATACATTTATGCAGATGCTTCATTATTTAATTTCTTTAAATATATGATGCAGGACTGTAATATTTCGTAGGAACAATTTAAAAAGTGATTCTCCGTTTATAGAGAATGACGGAAAATGCCAATACGAAATTAATAGCTCTTCTGGGAAAATGCGCTTTGGACTAAAAAACCTAAAATTAGTGTGCTACAAACTCTCTCTTGTATTAATTACAGAAATTAATTTGTTACATATATATATTTCTTATATTAGAGAAAATTAGGATTGGTTCATGTTATTAACAAAGAATTTTTGTGCATCTTAAATCAAAGTTTAGGGTTCTAAATTTAATGTTTATTTAAAATTTTCGCTTTCCCGGGAAATCACCGAATCTTTATATTTTAAGCTATCACCGAATCTTTATGTTTTAAGTAAGAAAGTAATTGAGAATGAAAATTTTATCTATGGCAGTGAAAATCTTAATTTCTGTTAATTTTTTCTTACCTTTAACATGCTGAGGAATATTTTATGAATTAATATTCATCTCTTATTTGTTATAATTTTGCCAGGTAGCGCTGTAAAAACGATTTCCGTAACGGAAGTGTGTGTTTTCTAACTTGTCTTCATCTCTACTGTAATTGTTCACTGTTGTGTTAAGAAATCATCATGGCGGAGGAAGAAACGGGCCCTAAAATTACGATTTTTGTAAAAACAGCAAAAGAGAAGAAATCTGTGGAAATTGAGGAGAGTGCTACTGTAAAAGAGGTAGGCATTAAAGTGTTCCATGTAATAAGTTAGATGTTAAATCAGTGTTAGTCAGTAAAACATTGCTACGTGTTGTATTTCACATATTGCGTAAAAGCTCGTATATTTTCCGTATTCAGAAAAAAATTTCAACTAAAAAAAAGAAGAAAAAATCTGTAAATTCTGTAATAACAGTAATTTTGCCTTTGTGAAGTGTATTTCTGTTTTTTATTAATATCTTTGCTTTAGGAATGAATTCCATGATATTTGACGTCATGTGCATTCCGTTTCCCTTTGGTAATAAGTCGCATATCACTTTTAGAGTATTTTACTGTGTAATTTTCGTTATTCTCGTTATTTCGTTATTATTATTGTTATCATTTATTTTCTGCGTGAAATATATTTATATGTAGATTAAAAGTAAGCAAATGCAGGAGGAAAAAAAAAATGTATCATTGTTTTTCGGTTTTTGAATCTATACATGTACCAATTTGAAAAAGTTCTTTCCTTAACTTTGTTACGGCATATCAGGCATAGAAATTTAGCAAATTCGTTGTTTTTTCTTAATCATTTTGATTTATCTGACATGTTTGTTTTGTTTTTTAGAAAATATCTGAAATAAATTGTCTATGAATGTTACCTTTTCGATTTAATCCTAGTATCCGGTGCACACGGGATTTGGCTACTTTTGGCGACTTTATGATGAGCAGTAAAAATGAGTCATTCAAAGAATATGTAGTGTTATACATAGTATATACTATGTATATAGTGATAGTAAGTAGTGTATAGTATATACATAGACGTTCTTTGGGTCATTTTTGGTGTTGGCGATAATTTTCAAAATTGCGCCAAGGCTGCACCGTATACTAGGATTTTACCATATCTTCTTTTATTAATATATCAACAAATTCACTCTGGTCATCTGTTTAAAATGAATGCTAATTTTAAACATACTTTGTAAGACAGCGCTTGTGTGATGTATTTTCAAAACTCATATGTTGTATCTTTTAATCTGGGAGTGCATGGCATGCAAAAGGGTATTTTACACTCTTCATGCTTTTTTTTTTTTTGTTTGTATATTCCTACTCCGAAATTAGCAAAATTTCTTCTAGCCGTTTGAAAGATTATTTTCTTGAAATAGGAAATGTTGCAGAGAAAATTCTTTCAGTTTTTCTTGCAGAAATCTGCTTTTTGTTGTATATGTATGCATTTTGATGTTAATATAAAGTGACTACATTTTCAACTGAGACAAAGCGGGACAAATGGAATGAAATGAGATTTAATCCCTTAACTGCTGTGGGCGTATATATACGCCTTGCTCAGCCGATGCGTTAACTTTGCGAATAATTTTAGGTGTAGCAGCGCAAAGCAAATGATAGCAGTTTGGAAGGACGTATATATACGACTGGGGCAGTTAACGCATCGGCTGAGCAAGCCGTATATATACGCCCGCGGCAGTTAAGGGTTTAAAATTTAGTTATAAAAGCAGACCAATAATTCAAGAAAATATATTTTATTATATGCATTCATATACTTGTCTATAAATATGCAAAAATATATTTAATATTAACTATTGGTAACTGTAAAAATATTTGTAAAAAACAATAATTTGAAAATTATGTTTAATTAATTTAATATTTTAGGTTGATCTTCACATTATGGTAACTTGGCGATTTTTTGGCGAAAATTTGGCAATCAACTCTCCTACAGCAACCCTCTATTTTTTTCCCCGCCGCCATTTTGTCTTCACGAAGTAAAGACGTGTTTCTTTTCTTTTTATCTACTGAACACGTCTTCCAACAATCTACTAGCCGAATTACACTTATGCTAGAAATTTTATCAAACAAAACTGCTTAATCATGACAAATATTCACTGCAAAATTGGGAAAAAAGTGCACAATACCATACTCCTTACGCGTTTTTCAAAATAACACATACACATAAACCATGTACACGCCGACTTATTATTTTACTTAAAAAAAACATCCCAGAATTGCACAAAAATGGCATTGCGCACACTCTTCACTATATCCATGTACACTGCTTTTTTTCTCATAAATTAGAAAAAATTTCACGAAAATACATGACAATTTCTCAATCTTTAAACCCGGTAAAAAGAACATATATGAAATTACCTGATCGCGAAAAAGTATTTACCCTTTCCAAATATGAACATTTCCACATATAAAATAAATAAAATATTCAAAAAACTTTTACCTCTAATCATCTATTACATTATACACGTCACCAACGAATTCATACCGCAAGCATTACAAATACTTAGTATCAAATATTTAAATTATTTCCATGCACGTTTACTTCAACTAAAACGTATACCAAATTCCTACAAACATAAAATTCACAAAATAACTATCATTTCATTAAAATATAATTAAATTCAAAAACACTACTTAAAATATAAATGAGCACATACATTAAATTATAAAAATTACCTTACAATCCTAATTACTTTAAACTAAATCATTGCTAATAACAATTTTCCCAATAATACCAAATTCCTTTCCACCTTACATTTAGAACAATGCATAAAAATAATATCCTCAAATAATTAAAAATACTAACTTACCTAATCTTCTTCGGAATCTTGATTACACGGCGGATACACTTTTCTAATTCATTCAATAAAATTATTGAAAGATTTTTTCTGCGAATTTTTCCTCCGTACTTCCTCCGCTAAATAAAAAGCAAACTTCTCTTTATCACAATGCCTAAATACCCATTTCGAATTCACATTAGTTAGGGCCATGGGATCCAAAAATTAAACAACACTGTTTCGCACAACACAGAATAAAGCTAAATACAAAATTTCCACATTTTTTCCCGATTTCACCCCTTTTCCGATTAAAGAACCGTAATTCGTCCATTAATATCACATGACATATCCCATGATCTCTCATTTCCCTCACGCAAAATGATGCGTAATCGGAACTGAGTACTGCTCACATTATTACCAAAGTCCCAGGTAGTAACCTTTATCGCCTCCAAAATATCGCCAAACTTCCAGTTACCATATTGTAAAGATCAATCATATTTTATCAAAAAATATGATTTTCCTTCACAACTATATTTATTATCCGAGTGAATACTTTGCAATAGATTCAGATCATTTATTAAAATGTCGTGAAATTTCTCACATGAATTGGTCAAATTATATTTTAAGCTTAAGGCTTAATACAGATTTTAGAGTTTTAATGTTCAACGGCGTCTTTTTCAATTGTCGATTTTTGCTGATACTAAAAAATTTCGGGTAGAGTAGACTTTAAGGTATCCCTTGTATTATAGCGAAGTTGTTTGATTTATCGCCAAGTTGTTGTTTCATTTATGGTAGCCTGAGTAGTTGAATGTTATGGAAACCCTACTGTGACGTAATTGGGTGCATGATTCTGCGAAATTTTGACTCATGGGATGTTTTGTAAGCATTTTTGTGGTGTGTGTTGGTTTGATTCTTTAGACGGTAGAATGGCCAAATGTAGTAAGATTAATTTGAAGTTTCTGTACCATTTGGAGCGAAAGGGGAAAAGAGCTTAAATTGACTGGTGTGTAAATGAAGGTTTACTTAGTAAGCCATTATAAGTGTCCTGTATGTAGGAAGGATATGCGTCTAGTCGAACGTAAAAACCGTTTATATGGATTTGAATAGGTTTGTAGGAAGAAAGGTTCAGATGGTCACTATGTGAAGCATTCGATCAGAAAGAGTACCTGGTTTAAAAAAATGTAATTTGAGTATGATTGATGTTTTGACTTTTACGTGGCTCTGGGTATACGAAGCAAACTCTAAAATCATGGTAAGTGACTATTTGCTTTTGGTAGTGCTTAAATGTATAACATGTTTTTCCTTTTTTATGTTATTTTGTTTGGTTTAAAATGTATTTTATTGCGATTATGTATTTTTTGTTTGCCTATATTGTAGAATTTGGTGCTTTTTTGACTTTTTAAGTGAAAATATATAGATGTGTACATGGACAAAGTAAAGGGAGTGTGCAATGGAAGTTTGTGCAATTCTGGGATTTTTTTTTTAAGTGAAAATAAGTTGATGTGTACAGGGATACCGAGTTTGTGCGATTGTTTGTCTTGTTATTTTGGCTTTGTGTAGCGGTGATTTTTGGCACAAAAATCGCCGGTTCGCAAGCCAAAATAACTAGTCAAAGAATTGCTTAAAATCGGTATCCATGTACCGCCAAAAATTGCCAAATTTCGCCAAGGGGTACCCTAAACTATACTTTTACCTACATACTCTTATAGTGAGAGCCCAGGCCCTTCGGTATTGGAAGTCAGGCTTCCCTAACCATCCAGACCCTTCGGTATCGCAGTCAAGCTCCCCTAACCACTCATATTCATATATACGTCTGTATAGATGAATCTGCCATTGGAAAAAAAAAAAAAAAGTTTTACCTGACAATGAAACAAAATCTAATATTCTAATTTTAATTCCTGTTCTGGATCAAAAAGTAAAGTAATTGTGGGAAATAATTTTACATTTTTGTGGTTAGAAGCATCGTAATATATAGATATAAATGTGCATTTATCTAATTCTTTCTGCAATTGTGAAAATGAATATGGGGAAAAAACATTACAGATAATTGCTTTCGTTTTTGTCTTTGCACGCGCAAATTTTTTGTTGTACAATGTTTTAATCATTTGCGATATACAATCAATTGATCTGAAACTTTGATTGTGGTTTATGGTGTGAAAAGCAAATAGCCGTTCAGCTAATGCTAGCTGTTCCTCCGTTAACAATACATATTCCTTGACTAGATGTAACGATAATGATGGAACACCACCAAGTAAATCTATCTCGTTACATCGCCTAATTTAGTTTACTCTGCATGCATTTTATGTGTTTTTTTAATTTCTTTATAATCACTATAATAATTAATAAATAATAGGTAATATATTTTTACAGTACATTTAAAATAAGAAATGCAGCTATTTTCTAAAAAGGGGGACAGTCCTCTAAAAAGCGGGACTGTCCCGCCAAATTTGGGACGTGTTGTCACTTTATGTTAGTAGTATATTCTTTTAAAGCTAACAACATATGTAAGAAAATGATGCCATAATATTTGAACCCTTAAAAGGAATTGAACTGTCAGCAGACTTTATTTTTTAGTTCATAGTGTATTCTTGAAGTTTTTTTTTTTTTTGAGAAAAAAAGACTCATAATCATTTTTATTTTATTGATTTATTAATTTTTTTATTAAAATTTCATTATTTCTAGCTTTTAAAATTAGTCTATAAATGTTATTTTTTGGCAAAAAATTTAAGCAATTTTAAGTTTTTGGAAATGCTAGCAGGATCTAAACAGCAGTTGTTGATATTTATTTCATCAAATTTTTAAGTCACCCAAGTTGCCCACTTCACCATGCGTATATCTGTTAGTTACTAGCACCTGGGTGTCATTTATTTTTAAGTGCTAAAAGATTTATCAGTGCCATAAATGATAAATTTTGCCTAGATTATGTTTGAATAGTCAAATTTCAAATTTTGAACACTTTGAATAATTTCAGCATGCCTGAGAATAATTTTTCTATTTGATGTTTGAGAAGGTAATTCTGTATAAAAAAGCTTTTAGAAGTTATACAGGGGTAAAAATATATTTTACGGGTGCCCCTTGGTGAGAACTGGCGATTTTTGTGGATACCGAGTTTGTGCAGTTCTTTGACTTGTTATTTTGTCTTTGTGTGGTGAATTTTGGTTAAAAATCACCACTATAGGAAGACAGAGCAACAAGTCAAAGAATTGCTCAAACTTGGTATCCGTGTATACATTGACTTATTTTCCATTGACTTATATTCACTTAAAAAAACGTCAGAAAATTGCACACTCCTTTGACTTTATCCATGTACACATAGACCTATTTTCACTTTTAAAAAAAGTCAGAGAATTGCACAAACTGGTACTTATGTATTAATGCAACCACCTTGGTGCAATTTGGTGATTTTTTGCTGATGAAAATGTAGAAGGTACAAGTTGGTGGTTTTCATGCCTTTTTTAAGAAAGATTTCCAAACTGTAGATGTTTATAGCAAGTCTATAAACATTATCAGCACATGAACTGAAAACATATTTTAGCAATTTAAAATACAAATTTTAATAAAAAGCAAGGAAGAACGGTAAAAATATATTTATGGGTGTCCCTTGGCAAAAATTGCCAGTTTTTGGTGGTACGTTGATATCAGGTTTGTGCAGTACTTGTTATTTTGGCTTTGTGTAGTGCCGATTTTTGCTTCAAAAATCCCCTTTACGCAAAGCCAAAATAAAGAATTGCACAAACTTGGAACCATGTACATATCAACTTATTTTCACGTAAAAAAATTGCGGAAAACAAAATATTAGAAAAAATCACATTATGACACGGATTCAACATTTTTGAAGAATTATTTGAACTAATACAAATGTGCAACACTACAATGCCCTCCAAAAGTTAGAAACACATGTTTTTTGTGTCTAATTTGAGAATGGAGCCACATAGAAACGGAAAATTTACAGGATGTATTCACTAAACAGTTCTTTTATGAATGCGACATAGAATGTTTCTAAATTTCATCACAAACATGAATAACAACAAAATATTGCACTTTTGGCACCTGTGATATACTGTTTCGCCAAGAAACAGTATATCACAGGTTTTTGAGAAAAAATGGTGTAACATTACAAAAATGGGCTCTAATAAGGAATATGCCCACCCCTAGCTGCAATACATTGGTGGCAGCGATATTTGCTGTCAATTAAGTTGTCAGTCAGTGAATTGGGAAGCAACGGCCACACACGGAGTAAGCCTTGTTCAAGCTTATCTAACGACCTTGAAGGAGGACTTAAAGCATCAGCCTGTCTCCCAAGGTAGTCCCAAAGATGCTCTATCAGAATCAGGTCTGGCAATTGAGCTAGCCATCCATTTCTTCCATTCTGTCACCCTCAAGATATTCTTCAGCAACCTGAGTTCCGTGTAGTCGTGTATTGTTGTCCATCAGAAGAAATTCAGGACCAATAGCAGCGGCATATGGGCAGATATATTGATCAAGGATCTCTTTTTGATATCTCACACCAGTCCAAGTTTCTCCATGGAACACATGCAGGTCAGTGTGACCACCGAGAGAGATCTTAGCCCAAGCCATTATTCTACCACCTTTGGAAATGTGTCTTGCAACAATGTGGGATTGGTTGTATCTGGTGCATTGTTCTCTCCAGATCAGCTGACGACCTAATCGCTGTCCAGCATAAACCTGGACTTGTCTGTGAAGTGAACAGATGCCCATTGTTGACTTTTCCAGGAGACATGTTCTCTTACCCAACATAAATGGGCACCTCTGTGTCCTTGGTTCAAGGAACAGAAACAACTGGTTGTCTTACATACAGCTTGTATTGTGCAGGCATCTGTAATTAGTGGCTGAAATTCTTGTTCCTGTTGTCACTAAATGATCTGGCATGGTCTGAGGCAGAGTTAAATAATGGTCTGTTGCAGGTGTTGTAACTCTAGGTCTGTATGGAACATGTCTTCTAGACACAGAATCTTCGTATTCAAACTGATTCCATAGTCAGTAGACCACACTACGAGAGACATCTAGCACTATCAGCTTGTGACATCACCATTTCCATCCATCCATCTAATCGCCAGCCACCTCAACGAATCGGGTAAGCCCCTTCTCTTGGACATTGATAGACTCTCCTGGATATTTTCCACGATATTATTACAGAACAAAGTCCGTAATCCGGACGTCCATTATCCGGAATAATCTATAATCCGAACCTCAAACTTTTTTTTTTTGTATGCTTTACGCATGTGCGTTTAATGTATAACGGACAGTATAAGCTAGGCTAAAATTATTTTTACTGATTCTAGGCATTTCAGTTAATGTTGCAAATTGGGCTGTTCCTTAATCTTCTAATTGGATCCAGCTTACTATTTTTTGCAGATTCTTAGAGCAATTTTATAAAAATTAAGCTTGAACTTTCGATTATGTCTGAAAGAGTTTTCAATTCTGAAGCTGCCAAAGGATCTACAGAGCGAAAGCATTTTTCGATGTCCATCAAACAGAAAGTGGAATTGCTGCAAAAAATGGATAAATGCATATCCGTCTCAAAATTATGTGAGGAGTATGACATTGGAAAGTGAACTGTGTATGACATAAGCAAAAAGAAAAAGGAACTTTTTGAATTTTTTGTGGATTCCGACACCTCATTTGCAATGAATAACAGAAAAAGGGTTTGTAATGCTAAAAATGACGATCATGACAAGGTGATTGAATGGGCCAGAAAGAGTCACAGCGAGGGCGTACCATTGATGGGTCCAATGCTAATGGCTCAAGCCAAAATATTTCATGAAGAAATGAACTTAAACACTGAGTGCACATATTCTACAGGCTGGTTAACCAAATTAAAATCGCCATGGTATAAGACAATTAAAAATTTCAGGTGAAAAGCTTCAGCTGATACTGAAGCTGCTGAACAATTTGGAGATGAATTCATTGAACTCATTACTAGTGGACATTTATCTCCAGAACAAATTTACAAAACTGATGAAACTGGTCTTTTCCGGCAATATATGTACCGCGAAATACCTTGGCAACCTCTACAAGAAAAAGCTCCAACTGGTGTCAAAGATTCCAAAGCGAGACTAAGAATTTTAGCGTGCGCAAATGCTGCAGGAACGCACAAGTTAATGTTCAGCTCCCTAGGAAGCACTTATTTCCCCCCCCTATCCTATTAAGACCCGTTTATCATTTGTGTATTCACTTTTAATCCTTTTTTTTTGGCATTTTTAAATTATGAAAGTTGGTAAAAGACAGGATAAATGCAGTGTATTTAGACCAGTATGACTAGCTGTCAAAAATGAGTCAGTGTAATTCTGTTCTTCAGTTAAATGTTACTCAATCCCTCAGTACAAAATTCAAAATAATTGTGAAGATGTTAAATGTAAATCAAAGCAAAATTGAAAATAAGAAATGAAATGGATGCACAGTGGCAGAGATTACAATATTGAGAACATTAAAGGTTTGGCTTGTAGAAAAGAATATGACTGCAGTTAACGATGTGGTCAAAAGCTAGTAAAAAAGGGGATTTTGAAGCAGCAGAACTGGTTTATAAATGGAAGAAAAGAGACATTATCTTATTACTTGATGCGATAGTGAGGCATTTGTTTTGTTTACTATTATATTAATTGTTATTGCATGAGTTACCTTTTTTTTTTTAATATAAAATGTTCTTAATTTTCAGTTGAAGGAGGAAGTGGCAAAACAATTCAGCACTACCACTGAGCAAGTGTGTTTGATTTTTGCGGGTAAAATTTTAAAAGATCATGAAGACATTAAAAGTCACAGTAAGTGTGTTTCATAATTGAATATTTTGATTTGTTTATAAAGTTTAATTTTTGTGTGATAAATTATTATTACTAACTATTGTTCTATACTATTAAGCGAACATTATCACATGCCAATATTTAAAGAAATTTCATCTCAAATTCAAAGTTCAAAAGTGTTTAGTATTTTAGATTAAATTTCTTCAAAAGTTGGTATGTGACAATATCCTTTAAGTCAAGCCACTGAGGATCTAAACACACTCTCTAACTACCATCCTTTTTCTTTACTATAACAAATGAATTTACAGATTCTGAAGTTGATTAATTTTCTTAATAATACCACTTTTTCCATTCCTGCCAGTTCCTTTTTAATAGACTAAGATTTTTCTACAGGGCTCTGTTTTACCAAGCTTCTAGTTTTAATTCAATGTGATAGGTATAACAAGTTAAATCACTGCAGTATAGAACTATAACTCCAGCTGAAAATTTGACCTGAACAAAACAAAATGGAAGTGGTAAAATGGAATAAGTTTTCACCTTCAGAAGAAAGAAGTCTGTTGCAAATTAGAAAATACAGTACAAAATTCGAAATGATCTAAAATTTGGTTCTTTGGATCACAGTAATTTTTGTTTAGAATTTTCCTTTCATAATGGAGATACTAATGACGAATCATGATTATTTCATCACCACATGACTGTCAACACACTGCAGCTTGAGAAATGATTCGTGCAGCAACATCTGAAAATTTTTTATAATTTTAAACATGAATAATTGAATACTATTGGTCATGGTAATCTTCTATGCTGACATTATGCTTGGCGATAATTACAAACTTCGGCTGTGAGGTGTTGAGTGTGTTGATGAGGAAATATTTAACAAATTTTTTTTGCTATGCAGAAAAAATAGATTTTGTAAATGATACTGTTAGGCCAAAAGGTTACATTTAGAGCTGTTTGAGTTAAGAATAACTAAATTGTTATTCAATTAAGCCCAGGTTAGCTGTAGGAGCCTGTGTAGCTGAATTTAGTGAAGCAAAATTTTTAGAATTTAGAGAAGCAATGAAATGAGGTTATGGCAAAAATATTTTAAGGCACTTGGCAGTACGCTTTTGGATTCCAAGAGACTGCACAAGGCTGCAAAGTGCCTAACACTTTAAAGCAGCAATCATCAACACTTAGAACTTCACGGCATCTGTAATTAGAACTATCAAGATTTTAATAATTTACATTCTCGTTTCGCATGGTCAGTTCATATTCGTGTTTATTATGATCGTTATGCTTATATTGTGAGCATATGTATGAATATTTATAATATAGTTGCAGTAGCTACTGAAGTGTAGATAAACTTCCAAAAATGGGTTTATTTTTACACACATTAGCTTTCTAAGGAATAATATTCGGAATGACTTAAATAAAAGGAAAGTAATCGAATAGTCATAATAATTTATTTTTCCCCCCCTAATACATTATACAGTACGGAGGTTGGGAGGTTCTCCGCAAAATCTGTAATATTGAAGCAGCGGACTTTTTATTTATTTATTTTTTTGTCACTGTCCAATCTGGATTGAATAGGACTAAAAGTTTTGCGGTCTACCCAACCCAAGGGAAGAATGATTCTATTCTGGAAATTTAACGCAGTCTGTTCAAAATTAGAATCAAAGAAACTCCCCAGATTGGTAAGTCTCTTTCTTTTCCTTTTATTTAGTTCTTTATTCTCCGGAATACCGGACAGCTGTTGATTCCGATTGCGCTTAATACACATGTGGAAGAATTACGCCGCACGTATTGCGCAATAACGTATTGCACTATCGCAATAACATATTGCGCAATAACTTTTGCGGTATTTTGCGAGAGATAATTAATTTTGATGTTCAGTCTGAGATTTGTTTATGAACACCTTAAAAGAGTTTTACTGTGCTTTCTAAGCAGAATATTTTTCACTTCTGTTGGTCTATTTTTATATGAAGCACATATCGGAATGTCAAAATCATTTATTTAGCCGAGCAATCTAAAAACGGCTACAATCTCCCCTCCTCCTCTTCTTCCACTTATGCTCGACTATACGGAATATTCGGCAATTTCCGAGTATGCGGGTTAGTTAAGCTTTTACTGTTAAAGGATGACTGCATGAAGCAATTTCCCGTCTCCTGTTTCAGAAATGTTCCTCTTTTACTTTGCTTGGAATATATGTTAAGGAAAAACAGTTATGCAGTGAAAATTTAGAAAATGTTCAGAATTTTGATTCAAGTTAAATTCTTTAAATATTAATATAAGAGGAAAAATAAATTGTATTTATTATTAGGTGCCAAGCGAATTCAATTAATATGACTTATTATTATTTATTTTCCATATTTTGAACTGAAATTTCATCATTAAATCTTGTAATATAGTTTAGTTCTGCATAGTTTTTTTTTTTTTTCTCTCATTGTAAACGAATTCTGTAAATTGAACTGTCATTTAAAATTTTTTAAAAAAGAGTTAATTGTTTTCCATGGTTGAGGTAATGCTTATTCTTTTAATAAATATTGCATTGATCATATTTTGAATTGCAAGTCTAATTTTTCTTTTAAGGTTATGCAGTTGTGTATAATGTAATTAGACAGGCGCTTTATTATTTTTTTTTTTTTCTTAAAATGTGCTTGAAAAGTGCTTACAGGTGCTTATTTTTTAACTAAAATGTGGCTATGAACCCTGTATGTAGTATTTGAATAGAACATATGTCAACGATTAGATAATTTTTCAGATGATATATTTTTGCATTCTGAGTTATAAAATAAGTGGGATGTATGTTAAGTGAAACTAGTGCCAGAGTATTGCTATGGTAAATATAGTGAATTTTAAAAAACATATTTATTCTATTGTGGTTTATGCGCTATCGACAAAGTAGTTTTAATTAAATTCAATGAGTTTAAATGAAGTGCAGGGAAAAATGCATATAATGTAATATTTTGCAGAAGGAAGTCATGTGGTGTACACATTAGACTTTTTTTTTTTTTTTTGTTTTATTGTTTGGTCATTACCAGAAGGCTTTCATAAAAGATTTCTGAAGTTTTTAGTGATATAGAAGGAGTTCAAATACATGTGGCTTACTTATTAGTTTGGGGGAAAGATAGAAAATAACATGATAAAGAAGGTGCTGGAAAGTGCCAGAGGAAACAATGTTAAATTAAAGTAAAGGCTAAGAAGAAGTAAAAACAGTCTTACTACAAAATAATTTACTAGTGGCATATGCATCTAAGGCATTAACAAATACAGTCAAAAGTTTTTAATCCGGAATGATCTATAATCCGGACCTCAAAGCTACAAACTTTCTGTGCATGATACCTTTACGCATGCGCGTAACACGTTTACTCATGCGCGTTTAATGTATAACGGACGGTATAAGCTAAGCTAAAATTATCTATTTCAGTTAATGTTGCAGATTGCGTTGTTCCTTAATCTAATTGGATACAGCTTATTATTTTTTGCAGACTCTTAGAGCAATTTTATAAAAATTAAGCTTGAACTTTCAATTATGTCAAAAAGAATTTCTGATTCTGGAGCTGCCAAAGGATCTACAAAGTGAAAGTATGTTTCGATAACCATCAAACAAAAAGTGGAATTGCTGCAAAAAATGGCATATCCGTTGTTTCTCTAATCATTCTGAAATCTGTTTATCAATTTCACTCTGCTCTGCGGGGAAGGAAACGTCGCGGCGCGCAATGAATTACAAGTTGATCTACCAGTGTTATCCTTATCTTCAGGACATATGTTTTTATTTTATTCGGCTTATAATTCCTTACTAAATGTAGTATTTCATCTCGATGTACTCAGTCTTTGATATGATTTAAATCAAATTCCTCGTCATTATAAATATCATGAATGCACATCAAATAGTTTTCTGGTTGCAATTTTCTAATTTCGACTATGGTACTGTATGCTTTACGCATGCCCACAATTAAGCTTTTTTTTTTTTTGTAAATTTTGATACCCTTTAGATCATAATTGCTTCTTTATTTCATAAATTACGGTTTCATATTTTTAATTTTATAATTTCTGCATGCCATCTTATCAGATTTAAATTGATGATCTATAATCCAGAAAAACCGATAATCCGGAATCGCCGAAGTCCCGATGAGTCTGGATTAAAGACTTTTGACTGTACACAGAAGGCTGATGCTGAAATTTAAAAGGAACTTCTACTGTTGTATTTGCATGTGAGAAATTTCAAATATATATATTTGTTAAATACAGTTGAAAGTGACCATAAACCATTGGAATGAATTTTCAAGAAGCCATTGAGTAAATGTCCAGTAAAGTTACAAAGAATACGTACACGCTTACAGCTATATCAGTTTAAGACAAAGTGTAAACCAGGAAAATGAACTTTGTATAACAGATAACATTATCAAGATCATTCAGTGATAAAGGATCTGATTTCTTTGAAGGAGACATAGAAAGAAGCTCATGGTTGAAATAGAAGTATATCATTGACTAAAGGCAAGAAAAATTTTCAACTAGAAATTTAAAAAAAAAAAAAAAAAAAAAAAAAAAAAAAAAAAAAAAAAAAAGAACTGCAAGTTTTAAGACAAAACCTCAGAAGTAAATGGATTAATATTTAAGACCTTTGTTGTTATACCTAGAAGTTTCTGAAAAGGCATGTTAAATAGAATTCATTAAGAATTAGCAAAATGCACAAGCAAAGTAGGAGAAATATTATACCAGCCAGGAATGTCAAAAGAAATTGAAGATTTGGTTCTGAATTGACTAACAGATTTGAGTTTTCAAAATTTAATAGTAAAGAACCAATGATTATTATACTATAAAGAAATACTTAATGGCCCGTGGGAAGTACAGACAGATCTCTTTTATTTTCAGAGCAGAGGTTATCTAATAGTTACAGACTATTTTAGCAAATATGTTGAAAATGGACATTTAAAAGATATATCATGTATATGATAAAACAGTTGGAATCATTTTTTCTAGGGTATGGTATCTGGAAAATAGTGTATTCGGATAATGGTCCACAATATAATTGCAAAAATTTTCAAAGAATTTTAAAAAAAAGCGGGGGGGGTGGAGAAGATGGAAAAGCCCAAATTACCCTCAATCAAACATAATGTTTGAAAGACATATTTAAACTGTCAAAGTGCATGTTAGGAAAACCTGTTGTTGACAACAAGTATCCATACTTAATATTACTGGAATATCATATTATGTACCTATTTCAGCTAGAATTAAATCATCTTCAGAATTGATTATATGGAAGAAAAGTGAATGAATTGATCCCTATAAAAGATAATTTCATCCAAATCAAGCAACATGTAGAAGAAAACCAAGATTTACTAAACAAACAAACATTCCAAAAAAATTATTGCGATAGGAATGCAGGACCATTAGAAGCAGGTAGGAGATCATGTTTTTGTAAATGAGAAAGGGAGAAACTGAAAGAAAACTGAAAAATTACAGAACCATGGTGACCATGTTCATACAGGATTATAAGAACAGATGGAAGAATTACAGAAAGGGACAGAAAAGACATTCTTAAAAAAACTAATCAAAGATTTCACAGTGGAAAACAATTGTAGAAACAATTAAAAGACTTGAAAGTCACATTTATGAAGATGTTCCAAATTCTGAAAGAGGTGGTGTATCGGCAGATTTTACCAATGAACAAAACTAAATTACTCAATCTGGTAGGACTGCTAAAAAGCCTTATTATTTAAAAGAGTGCGTGTAATCTTTTTATTTCTAATAAAAAGGAAGATGTCACATATATAACTGTAACATGTAACCATAACTGTAAGCTATGTAACTATAATTAAACCGCTGAGAACAGAAAGTGCACAATCACCATTTTTTTATAATAACTTGTAATTAATGGAATAGGTTTTCACTTAAGTAGATCGACCAGCGGTTTTGTGGTAAAATTGCATAAGACGGGTAATTCCAACCTGAGTACGATTCCAGGCAAATGGGCTGGCAGCATATGTATTACCCCACATGTAGCATGTATGCGAGCCAGTTTCCTTTAAATGCTCCATGAAGGCCTCGCTCCTGTAAGCAATAGCCCTAGTGTGCCTTGCCATAATAAACTAAACCAAATGTACATAGTCTAGAAGCATAGTATGAGAAAAATGGCTTGAATATATTGTTCAGGATTACTGAAGATGATGTATAATGTGATGAAAGTAAAACAAGGGTAATCTTTCTCTTCTTTTTTCTTTTTTTTTTAGTGAAGCATTAATCTCTTTTTGGTTTGAGGGTTAGGTGTGATTGTTGTAACATAAAACAGTTCTTATGGAATTCAAAGCTTATTAAAGTTTTTGACATCGTTTAGGTTGCTGTATTATTTCTATTTTGCCAAATAAATTACCAGTTGTTACAGTATCAAATTCTAAATATGCAAAAAATAGTTGTAAATTAACTGTATTTAATCGAAGCAATCCATTTGCAAATCTGTCATAACTTTTGTCAGCAGAAAAATATTTATTATAAATTAAGCTGTGGATTATTTGCTTTATATATTACATTTTTTATATATTTGCAGACATCAAGAATGGATTGACTATTCATCTGGTCATTCGAAGTGGCAATAAAGTAAGTTCATTTTAAGATTTTATTATACAGCATACTCATATTATACAGGAATACATATACTGGATATGATTTTGGGGAATCCTGATATTATCGCTTAATACTGAAACAGTATTAAGCAAGATTTTACTGTTGTAGTTATTTTGTATGCGTCATCAAAAAATACCTGTCAACTTAAAATGTTTTTCTGTAGAAAGAAGTGATTAAATATAAAAGGTTAATGCTATGGAAATGGTTAAAAATTTTTAGTTTAGAAGTGATACTTTTTCGCGAGTCAATACATTTTATGTATAAATTTATTATTTAAGGTAAATACTGTTCAGAGATTGTACTGTATAGATTTGCATCATTTGAAACTGAAAATTGTGTTTAGAAAGTCATTTTCAAACTACAGTTTGCATTTAGTTGGAAAATGATTTTATTGTGTATATTGCACTGTCATGTTATCTGAATGCCTGTAATTTACTGAAACAGAAATCTTTTCTGTTTCAGTAAATTTTCAGTACATTTCAGTAAAAATTATTTCAGGAGACTGAACAACAGTCTTATGTAATAATATAATATTTTTAGAAACTAAAATTTCAGATTCTTTCCGTGGATAGCTTCTTTTACATGTATTAAAAATTAGGTAGTAATATTTTTCAGTTGTTAATAATATTTGGAATTTAATTGTCCATAAATATAATTTTATTTGGCAGTACAAACATTCAGTAATTAAAAGCACAGTATTAAATATATTATAAAATGTAAAAATTATCATAAATGTAGAGTAGCATAAGAACTAAAAAAAATTAAGAAATTTTGTATGAATGTATTTTGTACTTGAAGTGAGATTTTAATTCCTTCCTTTCAGAACATTCGTATGTGAGAACATTATTCATCTCTCAAGTTATATAAAATTTTTGATTATATATGCTCTTAGTATAACTGCTTTCCTTTAGAGCTCATGGTCATTACATAAGAAAGGTATTTAAGCACTTGATATAACTCATACATGTGTAGAATTTGATAGTAAGGCATATTTGAGATTTGCACTTCAGTGCATTGTAAAATATTATGCAGTAATTCAGTTAAATTAATTTTTGATTAGGAATAGTTTTTATTATAATTTACCTTTCAATGAAATTAACTTTCTTGAAGAAAATTTCATGCTTTTAAAAGTAAAACGAATAGAAATGATAGGACTGTAAAAAATATATGTTTATGATATTTCAGAGGCTTTCTATATCTGTATGAATGAATACACAAAGCAAATAAAATTAATTTTCTAAAGAAATCATGAGTGAGTGAGTGATTATGGTGCAAAAACCAAAGATGATTATAACGCGTCATTAAAGGAATCATGAGAAAATTCAGAATATTCAAATTTAATGTGAAGCCCTATATTTAATAGCAGTATGCTGTATGAAAGCAATTAGGGATGAAATCTCTAGGGACATCAAGCTTGACAGTTTACCTAACCTTCTCAGGTGTGAAAATGGAAAAGGAATGGCAATTGTTGTGGTTATTCCCATCTTTTAAACTAGAAACATCATGACATTGTAATGGCCATCCTTGTTTGTAAAGGCCAATTTTTAATGTTACTAATCTTTGTAAAAGAACTTATTGTTTTGGATTTTATCAAAATGTGTGAAGCAGTTTTATAAAACTAATATTGTGAATGGAGTGACCTCCTTTTGAAGTTTTGACTGCTTCTTATTTTCATGTGTTTTCTGCTAGCAGTTTGATGCATGATTTAAAAAAAATTAGTTGCTTTTTGCTCCATATGTAGCATTTAAATCAACTTTTACTTTTTAGCATTAATGTAAATAAAAAAGGCATGTGTGTTAAATTCTTAAATGTATGATATTTTATATACTAACAAAAAAAAGTAGTAACTGTTGTTATTTTACAGCAACAAGAATCGCCATCATCAACAACACCAGTAAGTTCTCTTAAATATTGTTACGAATTTTGTATTTAGATAGCTAATTTTAGTAGAATTATAATTAAAATTGTTTAATTTCCCCATGAGCATGCAGTGCAGTGTAAGACAAATGTTAAGAGAAAGCTATGCCAGAAAAATAAAAATACAGGAGCATGTGCATTTAACATTGAGTAAATGCAATTCGATTTAGTAACACAGTAAGTGTAATTGACCGCTTACTATGTTAGCTGTAACCGTAATTTTATCCTCTTATTGGTTTCCGGAAATCTCGAGAAGCAGAAAATGCTAGAACTATCTTGCGACCGGTTGAAAACCATTTAAAGCCAGAGAGAGACATCTCAGCTCAGTTTCTTAGCTGTTGTGAGTTGCAGTTCCACATGAACTGAGATAAAGTGGATTAGTTTCCTCTTCAAATGTGCTGTGGATTGTGTTCTATTTAATGTTTTTTTAGTAGTTTGAAGTATAACTACTGATTATTATTGCATGATATTGTGAACACTTGTATGAATATCTCTGAGAAAAATTCCAGTGGTCTGATATATTTCTTTTGATAAGAATACATTTTATTAACCTTTTATCAAATTTGTGTGCATTCAATCTGTTACGAACCCATACATACACAACAATATATATTACTGTTTATATTCGTATACATTACTGTTGTGTTTATTCTATCTATAATGTAATTTGAAATTAAAAATTCTTAGTAATTATTGTAAGATGGCTGCAAACTCTGTTTTACTGGGAAAGTAAGTTTTTCATCACACGTCCTAACTTCATTGTAGATCAGCGCCTTTTTCAGTTGTTAATTTTTACCCTCTACTGAGGAAAATATTTCCTAGCAATAAATTTTTTGAATAGTTTTTTGAATAATTGAAACTTAGATCATACAGATTCCTTTCCCCACCTTAAATGTTTTCAGTGTAATTTTTTAATTAAATTAAATTTTATTTAAATTGCCTTAATCTGCTTCCACATTTATAGAACTTTTATGGAGGTTACACCAATGTTTAATCAGTTAATTTTAGGTCATCTGGAAAATTCTGCAGTTTTTTAAATTGAAACTTATCTACTTTTAATTATTTTGCTGCTACCCACAAGAAGTTACTTAGACATAAAAGGAAGCACCGTCTTTTCTGCTCGTATTGCATATAATTAAAGCATGTGTAGGGACATAATTTTTTTTTCAGTGCAGTGTGAAGAATAAAAACTGTTTCATTTACATCATTTTATTCTGTTTTATTTTTTTTTTTTAAGTGGTAGTCAGAGTATTCGTAAAGTTTGTTCTATATATGGACAGAGGGCTTTTTCTGATGATACAATTCAAAGGTGGTTTGAGAAGTTCAAGTGTGGGATTTCAGTCTTGGAGATAATGCCTGTTCTATATGACCATCATCTGTAAACAAAGACCTATTAAATTAAACTATTGTTGAAAATCCACATTAAACACTTAAGGAACCATTAACCCATTAGCCGCTGGTGTTGCATTGACGCAACGTATATAAATATAACTACGTAAGATATTTTATACCAGCAGATGATTTTGTGTAGGGAATATTATGAAGATTATTTCTGTAAAAAAAAATTATTTGCCTTCAACTATCATTTTGTTTATAATAATTAATCTCGTACTTTAAGCAAAATTTTGGACCGGCTATTTTTGCTGAAAATATTTAACGAAAGAATCGAATCGCCCTCTTTATAAGTGATCTATTTTTAGTCAAAGTCACAGTTTACATCAGTCAGATATTTATATTTATGTTGGGAAGGAAGGGAAAACAGGTGTTGTGCTGACGTAACGTCAGCAGAAAACGGGTAGTCAACCTCCTTTTTCACTCATTCCTTTCAATGTTCTGGTTGTTTGAAAATGCCTATAACGAGGTATCTTTCATTATCAGAAGCCCTTCAAAGATTTTTTGATGAAGAAACAGATGATGATAATGTTAATAATGACCAGAGGGAAACTGATGTTGTTCCCCAGAAATTGCAGAATCTAGTGACGAAGAAAAAGGAATGGCAATGTTTTAAATAATGATAATGATATTTTACCAAATGATACTGCTGGGGAAGTTGAAATTTGCGTAAGAAGTAAGTTTCAGCCTTCTAAAAGCAGTTATAGTCATACTAAAAAGTTTAAAAAGCAGAAGACTGAAATATTGATGTGGATAAAAAAGGAACTGTTAGGAAGAACATGAAGAAAGAGATAGAAGAGAAATTATAAAAGACAAATTACAAGGTAAAACTAGTGCACAGATTTTCGATTTTCGTTTTGGTTTAGACATTTACTCTCTTCTCGTTGAACAGATAAATATATACGCTCAGCGGGGGGGGAAAAAAAAAAGGCGCCCAGGATTTATTGCATCTGAAGCCTTATGAGAAGATTTATTGGAATATTATTGCTTACAGGATATCATTCATAACCTCAAGAAAAATGTATTGGTCTTTTGATAAGGGCATTTCTGTTCCTGTTGTACGAGAATCGATATCACGTTTGCAGTACAGGAATCTGAAGCAGAATTTGCATTTGACAATACTGATAAATTATATGAGGTGAGACCGTATCTAAACTTACTAAATATCACCACTTTTTGCTACTGGAAATATAAAGTCTCTTTTAGATTTCAGACGCGAGAATGCATTATTCCTTTTGCAAACTCCCATTGAGAGTGTAGAATCAGCCAGAAATAGATCAGAAACAGGAAGACCTAAAAAATTCAGCATTCAAAAACTGTTGCATGGAGATGGTAGACATTTTATCGTAAAGTCTGTTCATAACACAAGACTTTGTTGTAAAGAGTACCATAGCCAGACTGTTTATAGGTGCAAAGTATGTAATGTAGCTTTACATCATGATTGTAATCAAGCTTTTCATGCTTGAATCTTGCAGTTGAAATAATCTGTATTTGTAAAAGAAATACAATGTACATTTTAATGTTAAATTAATTACAAGTAAAGTGATTTGTAGATTTATAAAACGTTATACAGCTAAAAAGTAATCCTGCGCTCCACTCAAAAGAAACATCACAAGAGTACAATCCTACTCATTAAACATCCGTATAGTCTTATTCCGCTGACGTTGCGCGAACGCAACACTCGCATTTTCCTCAGGTAAGAGCATTTTTTTTATTTTCAATGTAAATTTATGTTATAAATGCTTAATTTAATATTTGTTATTATTTTCATGAGAAAAGAAACATTCCTTGTAGTTTTGGTGGTTAATGGGTTAAACAGCCTAAATACAGTCAAAAGTCATTAATCTGGATTCGTCAGGACTTCGGCGATTCCGGATTATCGATTTTTCCTGATTATAGATCATCAGTTTAAAAATGGTAAGATGGCATGCAGAAGTTATAAAATTAAAAATATGAAACCATAATTTATGAAATAAAGAACAATTATGATCTAAAGGGTATCAAAATTTACAAAAAAAAAAAAAAAAAAAAAAAAAAAGCTTAATATTTATTTGTTTACTTTATTAAACATTTCTTTCAATGTAAGTTGTTTAAGTTGCTTCGTTTTATGTGATAATACTTTCTCTTTAATTCTATAAACAGAAATAATTTCTTCTTCAGTTACAACGTTCCGCTGTTCAAGTCCTATAATTGCTGTGTCGAGAATACCGACTAATTTGTCAATTGAAATTTTTTTGTTTTCAATAACCTCTGTGTCATTTTCTTCACTATCGGAAGCAAATTATATTGACGAGAAATTTGACTTAATTTATATCAAAGACGGAGTACATCGAGATGAAATACTACATTTAGTAAGGAATTATGAGCCAAATAAAATAAAAACATCTGGCCTGAAGATTGGTTAGAGAAACGAAGGATATGCTTTTGTCCATTTTTTGCTGCAATTCCACTTTTTGTTTAATGGACTTCGAAACATACTTTTACTTTGTAGATCCTTTAAATATTAGTAAATATATATCGGAAATTCTATTTGACATAATCAAAAGTTCAAGCTTTCTTTTATAAAATTGCTCTAACAGTCTGCAAAAAATAATAAGCCGGATCCAGTTCGAAGATTAAGGAACAACACAATCTGCAACATTAACTGAATTAGATAATTTTAGCTTAGCTTATACCGTCCCTTATACATTAAATGCGCATGCATAAACATATTATGCACATGCGAACATGCATATTCGCAGCTGTAAAGGTCTTTCTGTGCATGCGTCAACACGAAGCATGCGCAGAAAGTTTTTAGCTTTGAGGTCCGTATTATAGATCATTCTACATTATGGGTGTCTGAATTAATGACTTTTTGACTGTATTCCAAAAAGTACAGTATGTGATCATTTGAAGAAGATAGGGTATGTATTCTCTGACAATGTATGGCTTCCCCATACTTTAACAAAGCAGAATATGCTTGTTCAAATCTTGGCATGTAATTCTTCACTTAAAAGAAATAAAGAAGCTGCTTTTTTGAAATGGCTCATTGCTGAAAGATGAGAAATGGATACTATGCAATAGTGTTACAAGAAAAAGATCATGGGGTTAAGCCAAAAGAACCTCTTTTATAAAAAAGAAAGAAAGAAGAAGGAAGAGACTTCTTCCCAAAAAATGGTTTTATGTGTGACTGGACTACAAAGGAATTATATAATAATAATTGTTGCCATTCACTTAGACAATAAATTCATAAAAATACTGTACCCAGATGATAGCTTTAAAAACAGTTATGAAAGTACATAGAAATGACCAATAGTGGAGGCATCTTCTATCATGATGATGTTTGGCCTTATGTTTTGATGAGTATCATGCAAAGGTCTTATTGAGTATGGCTGAGATGTTTTATATCACCCTCTATATTCACCAGACCTTTATTCTGTGTTGCGAATCTTGTCAGGTCATTTCTGAAGATCGGGTGTTTGTTTTCATGTGCATTATAACATTCAAAGGTGTCCCTTTTTTTTTTTTTTTTTTTTTGTATATGTATTGTGTTAGTCTTTTATGGATTACCTTTGGTCTTTCCTTTTTTTTTCCCCCTTTAAGACCTGGAAAAGTATATTTAAATGCTACTTAAATATAATTTTGAAATAAATATGTTGAACATTTATTTAAAAAAAATCATTCAAAAGATTGTGAATGCAGTGTATTATTGCTTTTAGATTAATGTTAGGTTAACAGTGCTCTTGATATTTTTTAATACATTTGAATATTAATTTTCAGAACCCAACCAATCCACCTGGAAATATGTTTGGGCTTGGGGGTTTTGGTGGACTTCCTGGAATGGGGGGGTTAGGAGGCCTTGCAGGACTTGCCAACAGTCCAGCTTTTTCTGATATGCAGCAAAGAATGCAAAGAGAGGTATTATTTTCTGTATTTTTTAAATATTTCTAGTAATTAAGATAATTTATTTTCATTTCTTACAATTAAATATTTTCTTTTAAATTTTTATAATTTATGTCTGTAAAAATTACAATAGTCACACTTTTCTCTGTCTTACATTTTAAATTGTAAAAAAGCGTTGATTGTTATTTTCTTTGTTCAAACCTTGTCTCTGATTTGAATAGACTAACCAATATTTTGATTTGTTCACTCATTTGTAATAGTATAAAATGGTGAGCACTCTCATATTGTACTTCTAAGCTTGGGTGCTTGAATTTTCAATTGTTGTTTTATTATAAATGCAATTTTAAATTATGTCTGAGCATAAGGAATACAATATAAAGTCTGAGATTCGGAATCGTTTAGACTTAAGGTAGTTTCCGGGCCCTACCATTAGTTTAAATCTAGTAAGGTGACATGAAACATGGCATAATTGGTTTTTTAATTATTGCTTAGTTCGGATAGATGAATGCTACCCCCTCCCCTTTGCAAGGCGGCCAGCACCAGAGCTGATGCATCTGTACTGGGTGGCAAAAATTTTAGAACTTACGGGAGCACTGAGTGGGATAATCAGGGATGGTGACAATTTTAGAATTTAGGATTTGATAGATTGCTACGATGTAATGTTTAGCCAGGTAGTGTTTGAAAGTGACATACAGGAATCTTGGTTAGTTCGGAGAAAAATGTTATTTATGGAACACCTGCTTCGTTTCACTGCTTCGCTTCATTTTTCCATTCGTAGATTTTATTTGGAGAGGAGGAATATATTATTAGTCCAGAAGGGTTATTAGCCTCAAAATGGCATTTTGTGTTATCACTTTTCGGATTGTTGCCACCAAATATTATCATCCTGTATTATAAAATTAAATAATGAAGAATCTGCATGTATGTATGTATGCCTCTCTCATTGTAAAAAACAATGGTACCTGAAAAACCACCAAATTTTGAATAATATAGTCCTCCACCTGAATATAAGCACCTGGAAGCCAAAATTTGTCTATTTCATATTTTTGTAAATCTATATTGATTTTTTTTACTTTTTAACAGAAATTAATAAATGGGGGGTCCCATAGTGACCATGCAAATCTTTAAAATATATGTAACTGTTATTATGAAATCTTATTTTAATATTAATTATTTGAGAATGAAATCAACCTAAAAATTATCAAACATATTTTTACAAATATGTTAAATATTAGATGTTTAATAATGCAAGTTTGTTTTGTTCTTATAATGTAGTTGAAGAATAATGTTTTGCATAGATAATTGTTTTAATTTATTCTATTTCCAATAGCTAATAACTTCATAATTTCTTTCTATAATGTTTTCTTTAAAGTTGTAAATTTCTGTGTTTGGAAAATTAGGGTACAGGAAATGTGTGAGAATAGTGCTCGAAATGTTATTTTTCTTTGTCAAATTCCAAAAATATTAATTTAAGGTATGGATTGGAGCTGATCAGAAAGTACTGAATTTGCTATTATTAATTAGAAAGTCTATCAGTGTAATTAATATTTCATCACTCGATCAAGAATTGGCCGAATATCATGAGAAATCCTAATTTTCCTCAGCGTTAAGTAAAATATAATCTTCAACTTTATTCTGTATAAGGACGCTTTGATTATCTGTATTATTTCCAAATTTTTGTTTCCCTTTAATGACTAAATAATTTTTATCACTTTACTGTTCAAATAAATGGCTGTATTTATGAGTGATTTTTCATGATCATCACTAATTTTCAATACTATCTTAAAAGAAAAAAAGTGATCAATTTTTAATGAATAATTTTTCAAATTTTCTCTAATGCCTTATTCATGAATTATAATAAAGTATTATTTTTTTAGAGTAAGATAAATTCAATGTAATTTACATTGTACATCAAAGTAAAATGGATTATTCAGAATATTTTTAATATGTATGCTTATGAAATTATGACAGGAAGGGGGAGTGAAGGAACTTTTAAAAAAATCCTTAATGAGTAGCTTGAAATATTTTTGCACAATCTTAGTTAACCCTTAAGATTAACATTCTTGAGTCCAGTAAGTTTAGGAATCTCATTTCAGTTGCAACAGTTTGAAGGAGACAAATTCTCTTGGAAATAATAAATCAAACAACTTCATAACATTTCAGAATAGAGCTGGAAAAAAGTTTGTGTCAAAATGTTTAAAAGAATTCAAATTAGTTTATTTGAATCAGATATCTAAAATTTAATGCCAGTTAGATTTCAGTATTTTAGAGCAAATATTTCTTTTATGTTACTACAAATATCTGCTTAATTTCTTGAACTGAAAATGAAAACTTTATGACTTAACCTTCCAGCACGCATGCTTCGATTATTTTTCCATGAGCATGTGCACATCGTATTTTTCCAACGCCTGTTATTTTACCGTTTTGGGCATGAAAAATGACAGAAATGAGTGAATATTAGTAATATGATGATGTACCATTGAGTGAATGAGTTAATATTGATAATACATATGATGTATCATTGAAATGAAAGTAAATTATGTTTAAATGTTTATATTAGTATAATGTCTTACTGGTTGCAAAACCTAATTTTAATTTTAATATTTTTATTTCTAAAAAAGAGAAATAAACGAAATTAAAAAATAGTAATAAAGAATGCAGTTGAGCAAAAATAGAAAAACAGAATGCTAAAGATTCTTCAATGTTCGAAGTTCTCATTGCATTCCATGCAAGTAATTTCGGTAATACAATGACGTTTGCATGGGTATTTTGCATTTTATAGATGCTGATGCTCTTTTTTTTTTCTCTGACAACATAATCCACATGTTCCTCTTTTCGATAAGCAATGCTGTGGTACTTCATCAATAAAAGTAACATAATTATGATTTAAAAAAATTGAAATGGAAGGTAGTGTTTGGATTTTGGCACACCATTGAAGATGCTTTTTCATGAAAGTAATAGATAAATTCTTTAGGAAGATCCTTTGGCATGGTGCTGTGTTAGCTGGCTTGAGGTAACAGTGCAGTTTCTTGAGTAACTCATGTATTTATTTGTACATTCCAAACTTTCACCAAGGATATTTATATAAATTATTTTCAAAAATGATCGTATTTCATCCTCTATATTCTTTGGCATGAGGTTTTAGGCCAAGTAACACTTTCAAAATATTCATCTTTTTCGTCTTTGGGCAGTATGCATACTTCTCTTTTCGCCATGTAGAATATTTATTTTTACCATTGTAAAACATATCATTATCATCACCCGAAATATTGCTAAGATTCATTGCTGATATTATTCATCTCAATATTATATAAAAATTATAAAACAACAAAAAAAGTCGTACGACTTCCTGTTGGCACATTCCAGGATGTGGAGAAGGGTTGAAAGGAGGAATAGAAATCAACTTGAGATGTCTCAGCTGTGATATGGGAAAAATATGCATTAAAAACAGAATTTGTCATAAACTTTGCGCCTAGCACATGTGTTGGAAGGCTAAAAAACTGTATTTAAACTGTAACTAAAATAATTTGACATTAACAAATGACATAAATATCTGATATAAGTCCTAAAGTAAAGGATGTAATTTGTCGTTTTCTAATAATTTGCAAAATTCCATAGCTTATGAATAATCCAGAAATGATGAGACAGCTATTTGATAGTCCTATTGTGCAGTCCCTATTCTCCAATCCAGAGACTCTCAGAGATATGATTATGAATCATCCTCAGATGCAGCAGATTATGGAGGTAAGCAGTAAAATATGAAATGTTACAAAATAATTATTTGATAACATCATATTATTTTGTCTGATGTATTTAAATGTTGTGTATTTTACAGCGCTTATAAACAAGCTGTGGATTTAAGGAGCTGTTTTTCTTCTGCTAAAAAGATTATTTTTAAATTATGTGTTATTTTTTGCAATAAAAAAAAGTTGTGAATAACCATGAAATTTAGCATTATAGAATTTAGTATACATAATAAAAAAAAAAAATCACCAAGCATTTTTTTTTTTTTTTTTTTTTTTTTTTTAATGAGAGAAAACATTATTGTAAAATATCAAGATGGTACTTAACTTTACAGCTATTTCAGGTATTGAGTTTGAAAGAATAATTGCAATAAGCACACACTTATTAATTGTTTATAAAATAGATTAAAAGAGATTGATTCCTTAAGAAAAGGAAAAAAAAAATCATGTTCGTGAATAAAAAACCAAGGCTGGTGTTAGAGCATGGGGTAAGCATGGGCTGGTGCTAGAGCAAGCAGTAAAATTTTGCATACACAAGTCTAAAGTCTAGGCTGTCTCTGTAAAGAACAGGATGTAGAAGTCTTTTTGGTTAATCTTTGGATTATGGTAACTTGGCGACCAACCCTGCTACAGCAACCTGCTAGTTTTATTTTGGACGCCATTTTGTTTTTACGAAGTAAAGGCATTTTTTTTTTTTTTTTACTCAACATTTTTTCCAACAATCTGCTAGCCAAATTACTCTTATATTAGAACTTTTATGGAACAAAAATGCTTAATCATGACGAAGATTAGGTGCAAAATTCGGAGATAGCGCAGAATCGCAAACTGCTTGCCGCGTTTTTAAAAATTGCACATACACGGTATCATCCATGTACACGTCGACCTATTTTCACTTAAAAAAACATCCCAGAATTGCACAAAAATGGCATTGCGCACACTCTTGACTTTACCCATGTACACTGCTAAAGTGCTAGCTAGTAACCTTTATCGCCTTACCAAAATGCCGCCAAACTACCTGTTACCATATTCCAAAGATTAGCCATCTTTTTCAAAAAATATTTAACTTGGGATAAATGACATTTTATTGTGTTAAAGAAATTTTTTTTGTGTGTTATTTTCAATGAAAGCAACTCCTTAACAGTAAAATCATTTATCTTGCACCTTTTGTATTCATTGATAAAATATCAATAATATTTGATCTCTTGATGTTTCGTGAACATACTGTTCTGGTTTTAGAGACATAAAAAGAGTAATTTTTTAAACACATTCCTAAAACAATGGGTAGATCATAGAACATACTGGAAAATGGACAAAGAAGAAATAGTACTGCAAATTGTTGAAAACATTTCTTTTGTTGTAAATCAAGATGCTGAGTGATAATCCATGGAAATGTAGTGAAGTAGAACCTTTAAGAAATATTTTTATGTAAATTATTATAGAAAAGTTTTTTTATAAAAGTCTGTGAACAACCATTATCACGCTGATTCCAGTAAATATGTGAATAAATATATTTCAAATGTTTTATGTTAAATTTGTGCAGAGGATTTGTCTAATTTAAAGCATGGAGATCTATTTTGATTTTTGCATCTATTATGAATGAGAAAGATCTGTTGTGAGAGAAGCATGTTTATACCTCACTGTTGGAAGAGATCATGGAAACTTTAAGGCATGTGTAAATTTTGCAGTAGTTGCATTTGGCTGATAGAGATTGTTAACATATTCATTGTAGAAGGTATGTATGAAGTGGTATTATTTGAGACAGTATAATTCATAATGTAATGCAGCTAAAGTTCAACCACCATGCAGGACAGTGTTATATTTTGACCAAAGAAGCTTGAATTTCTGTTATTAGAAATAGAACCCTGTCTTACAGCTGCTTTATGTGCAAGATTTCTCATTCTCTGACCCTCCTGCTTACTCTAACCAAAATGATTTTTGTGGGTTGAAATGTTTACCCCTTAACTGCTACAGGCGTATACATACACCCTTCCAAACTAATATCATTTGCTGTGCACTGCTACCCATAAAGTTATTCGCAACGTTTTTTAATGAAGCACCACAATGACCTTGACAAAGTATGCGAAGGAGGATACTATTTCAGAGAAATGTGGGGTCAAATTGGAGAGAGGGGTGTATCTAAAGCGGTGAAAGTAATGACTGTGCAGTATTGGCTGGTGTTTTTTGAGTAAAACTTATTTTTTTTAATTCTGTGTGCTCCCTCTTTTTTTTTTTTTTTTTTTTTTTTTTTTTTAGTAAGTTCCAGGAATAAAGAAAGATATAATGGATTTTTTAAACCCATTTATCTTTTTGATTTTTTTTTTTTTTTTTTTTTTTTTTTTTTTTTTATGAACTGCTCCTGTTTTATATTGTTACTGAAACTAACCGTTTTGTAGACGACAACAAACACCTTGCAAATGAAAAATCAAGAACAAAATCGTGGCATTCTACCAGTTCAGAAGAAATATATGTTTTTTTAGGTATACTGATTTCACAAGGTATAATACTGAAACCTGATATTACACTTTACTGGTCTAAAAATGACTTGATCGAAACTCCATTTTAGGGATCTTTTTTATTATAAAAACATTTTTATTATACTTACATCTTTTTATTACATTTTACTCAAAACATTAAATTTTGTGCATTCATTTTTTTCTTTTATTCTTTATTTTGTGAAAGTAAAACTTGCACTTATTTTCCCCCTAATACATTGTATAACTATGCGCGCCTCTGTGAAAAACCGTGCCACTGGGAAATGAATCTTGTACATTTTCTGTGACAGTTAAGGGGTTAAACAATTCAAGTTATCCAAAACAACACAGCTGTCAATCTGTGACAGATGCCAAAGTGATGTTCTACTAATGCATCCAGGAATATCAGAAGTGCTGGAGCAAGTTTGTTTTCTGTAGAATATTTCAGATGTGCTTAGGTAATAATGTTTTATATTTCAAATGGAACTGCCGACAAGCATAAGCATTAACTTTATGAACATATAAATATGTAGCAATATTTTCTTTTTACAGTGCCTTTGAATGAATGTTATTAATTTTAAAAGTATTTTTTCATGTTTTTCAGAGGAATCCTGAAATTAACCACATTTTCAATAATCCTGATCTTTTGAGGCATACAATGGAAATCATGCGAAATCCTGCTATGTTACAAGAAGTTATGAGGAATCAAGACAGGGCACTTAGCAATATAGAAGTAAGAAAATGATTTCAATACTCTTAGAATTCTTGCTTTTATTATTTTGTAATGGAATAAGTGCTGGTTGCAATCAAATTTGTTATATTTTACTTATGCTTGCTTAATGCATTGTGCTTAATTTTTAACTTGGAAGTATGAACATGTACACTATGATTCTTTCTCAGTTACTAAAATATATTGCTAACTTACATGTTTTGCAGATAGGTTTTCAATTTTTTCTGAAAATTTAGATATGTAAGATATATAAACCAAAGGGCCATTACATTGTGAGCACCCTGTTAATGATATTTAGAACCACCTTTAGCCCTCAAAACTGCCAGCACCTACCATGGCATAGTCTGATGTGTCTAGTACCAAATGCTCACCAACTGGTCCTGCACAATGCGAGGGGGAGTAGCGTGGCAGCACGAATTTGGTTTTCCAGGTGGGACAACAAATGCTCTATTGGATTATGTCAGATAAATTTGGAGGCCAAGACGTGACTTGAAAGTCACTGGGATGTCTCTCGAACCCCTCCCTGATGATTCAGCCCTTATGACATGGTGCATTATCCTGTTGGTAAATACCATCCCCCACTGGAAATACTGTTGTCATGAATGGGGGAATCTGGTCTGCAATGATGTTCACGTAGTGCACAGACGTCAGCAATTGTTCTATGGGAATTGTGGGTCCTAATGCGTTCCATGAAAACATTGTCCACACTGTAATACCCCGCCACCAGCTTGTCTCCGTCCAACTGTGCATCTGGGAGTTTATTGCTATTTTAAATGCCATTAAAGGGCTTTTAGCCATTGGAATGACTAGTGCAAGTTTTAAAGGCTGTATTTGTCAGTTAATTTCTTGTTTCTTGTAATAGAGTATGAAGTCTTATTTATTTAAGTTTTTAATGCTGTATCTGTACATTGTACTTGTTGCTTATGTTAACTTAATAAGGAATTGCCAGGGATTATCGAACTAAATATAAAACACCATCTGCTTCTTTAAAATTCTTCCAAAATGATTGGTGCAGCTTTTGAAAGATTTTTGTCAATTTTTTTGATTTACAAGAGCCAGTCTTTCATAGCTGACAGGAAAATATGAAAATACATGTACCTCTATGTCTTTTTGAGAGAATCATTTTCATTGCTACAGGATCCCAAGTAGCAAAAAGTGTCCTCATTAGGGCTGTGGAGTCGGGCAGGGTTTGGAGGAGTCGGACTTGGAGTTGCTAAAAACACGTTGACTCTGACCCCAGTTTTTGTTGGACAGTTTGAATTTGAAATGAAATTAAAATAATTGAAAAAATTAATGGCAACCTGAGTTATTATTTTTATTTATGGATTGTGTACATTAAAAATAGTTATTTTCTATTTTATTGACATTTTAATAAATATAAAGGAGGATGGATGTGATATTTGCCATTAGTGATTAAATTGATTCATTCAGTTACAAATCTCACTGGTAAGCAGCAATAGCAGCAAGAACTCCTAAAATTGATGACATTCTTAGGAAGCAAGCTGGGGCAATTATTGATCAAGCAATGCGATAAGGAAATACATATTTGATGATAGAGGTTTTTAGAATTAAGAATTTAGAAGATGCAGATAACCCTAATGTTTCACTAACCGAAAGACTGTGGAATGATCTTGCAAAATTGGAAATTCTTCTTTCTACACCGCATATAGCCACGAAAAAGCTGCAATCTGAATAATTGACAGGAGGCGAGAATGGAAGAAAGTGAAATTTGTTCTTTCTGAAATGGAGGGTTTATTGCAGAAGGAATCATTTCTTCAAATAAAGAAAAGAGAAACTAGTTTGCTAGACAATGTGATCTTGCTGGGTTCAATATATGAAGATCTAAAATACTGAATTTTCTTGGATGACAACCAAATTAAAAAGGCAAAGAAAGCCATCTATGAACTTTCATTAAGAACGAATTTTTCTCAGAACAATTGGAGAATTCGAATCAGGACAGTCAAAATGCAGACATTGCAATTAAGTCTCTATCATCCTCTTCCAGAGATGAATTAGATTTTGAGAAATATTTTTGGGTAATATTAAAAAGGCTAAGGCAAAGCGAATGAAAATAAAGAACAAAGAGCCTTTCAATATAAAAATGAAGAAATACAAACAAGATTTCTGCACGGCCTTTGAAGAAATAGAGAAATATGATTGTGCTTGCAAGACACGTCTTTTAGAACTTATAAAAATCTATCCTGAAAAGTTAGAAGAAGTAGCCCTAATAGAAACAGCTCTTCCTCCTACTCACATTAGTGTGGAAAGACTCTTCTCAGCTCTGAAGTTTTATCAAATTGGATCTATGGCCCTCCAACAAAGAATATATTGCCAAAGCTTTACTGTTTCCAGGGTTCGTACGGTCCTTAAAAGTCCTTAAATTTTTCAAAAATGATTTTTGGTCCTTAAAAGTCCTTAATTTTGGCCAAAAGGAATAAACGGTCCTTAATTTTGCTCATTTGACATTTCTTATTCATTTCTAATGATTGCCATTCTAAGTGTGAATTACGATTTCTCATGAATATGGAATTAAAATTACACAGCTCTTAACCTAATCTGTTGGCGGATTTGCGCATTGCAAACGATTAAAAAAAAAACAATTAGCTTAGCTACCCGAACGAAAGTATCGGGTGTCTGATTGGCTATTCACCCAATCTTTCGAAACAGGTGTTATCCATAAATTTAGGCAGACTGTGACGAAAGCGTGAAGCTGGAAGTTCTTTAAGAGGCGAAAGTGATGATGAAGGTGCTCGAGGAAAAAAAAGGGAGGGGGGAGATTCTGAAAATATTTGCCAAAATTAGAGCAATTCCAACCTGGAAGGCCACAACCCTTCCGACGCCAATAGGAACGAGATGCCTGGAAAGTGCATTTTCAATAAACTGTGGCTTCATCAAGCTGACTACAAAGACTGGATATTGATGGATGGCAATCCTTAATAAAGCTAAATGGTCTTTGTCTGAAACAAATTGAAATTTCTAGAATGGGAGAGTCAGCACTGAAAATTCACATTAAAATTAAGTTTCGTTTTATCATTTCAATTTGTTTTTACACGGTTTTGCTTAGCTTAATTTCTGTGTTTGTTTCAATTAAGCCATAAATTAATTTTTTATCACCTTCTACGGAGTTTATTCTCTTTTGCACATATATGTATGGGATATCGGGATTATGAGTTTATTTCTGCAGAGGGTCTGTTATCGATTTTGCGGGAAATCTGTTGGCTCCATTTCAATTTTAGGTCGCCAAGGGCAAATTCGGTAACGCTAGCCGAAAAAAAAGTGAAGTTCGGAAATACGTTTTGAAGCGTCAATAGACAATTAAGTATTTGGTTTAATCCTATGCACAAGGTATCCGTTGCATAAGGGATGTGGCAACTTTATGATGAAAACGGGACATACACGATGAGTAGTTAAACGGGTCATTTTGGTGTTGGCGATAATTTTCAAAATTGCACCAAGGCTGCACCGTATACTAGAATTTTATTAAGTATTTTTATAAAAGGAATACTGCTTTCAGAAGAATGTTATTGAATTTTGATATCGCATCATTTATTCAAATAGTTGGTCGATATAAAATTTCATTTTGATAATGATTGAAATTATCTTTTGTTATTAAGCTAATTTCACCTATTTATAACTAGAAATTAAAATAAAAGCTAAATCCTGAAGAAAAAGTCAGTGTTGAAATGATAAGGAAAAAATAAAAGAAACGGAAGATTAATAAATTAAAAGAAAATGACCGATAAGTGGAATGGTTGCTACACGGAAATACCCCCATATGCGGTCAGGTCGTAAATTTACAATCTCTTTTTTCAGGGGGAGAGCTGATAAGGAGGGGACAATCTTGCTTCAGATCTTTTGAAAATGTAGGGGTTGTTTAAACATCTAACTTCTCTACATTCAGTTTTATACAGAGGAAAATACAAATTGAATTCTTTGAATGAATGCAATTTTGTACAATGAAAATGTATTACTTGACGATAAACTGTAAGATAAATAACATCTTTTTTTAAAGCCATAGGTGTAGAAAGACAGATATTTGTTACACGAATGAATTTGTAGTAAATATTGAGTTTTTCATTTCGAATGCTATGTTCCATGTATGCGAAGTAACTGAGTATGTGAGATAATAGTCATAACCGAATGGCTTTCAACCTTTTCACTGCTAAGGACTGTTTCTCAATTACATTGTGGTCGTTGCTTTTTGGTTAATTTTCTAATGACATATAACCAATAATTGTTTTTATTTGAGACTTATGAATAAAATAACGCAAACTATACTGCAGAAAATTCTTAAGAATGAAGCTAAATAATACTGAAAAATACATTATTGATGCACTTTTGGGTTTTATATGTAGTAGTATTAACTACTACTATAATCCTTAAATGGAATCCTTAAATTATATATATATATATCTATGTATAGGTATATATAAATGGAACCAAATATAGAACAAGGTATAAAATATCTTTATTATACAGTGTTCATTATCATACCTTTATTTATGTAATATCAATATAAATAGTTAGTTAAGTTTTGTACATGTATAATTTATTTTTATATTTTGTATTTTTTGTGTTAGATTCAGTATTGTATACGTATCTGAAGTTTAATTTTACTTGTTCTCTTTCTGGGTTACGACTTTAAGTGAGAAAGAATTGTTAGGGCCGTCATAGGGATTACATTATATACAATCAGTTAGGATTCGACTTTTCCTTTCTTTTAATCATTATATATATTTAAATACTACTTGATAAGTATACATAAAATATAGCAGTTTTTTTAAGCTACTTATTTATATATCTATTGTTTGGTCTTGTTTGTTTGATTATAGCAAAGCATTCGACGGTTATTTGCCTAAGGGTAAGGGTGCCTCGTGGAGAACTTTCGAAGCAAAAGTGACTCTTATGCACGTTACACGTGGAAAACCTTGAAAACGCCAATACAGCCATCCCCGTCGATCCGGATTCGAACCCCGGATCGACCTGCCAGAGTTCAACGACTT